ATGTCACAACTCTTTCGGTTCCTCTGAGCTACTACCTCACTGCAGAGAAGCAACTCGACTATTCGCCAAGCAAAAAGCACCTTACACTTCTTTTCTTTGTCTTTTGGCGTTTTCTGAATAACTGTGACCTCTCAAAACCCAATCACCATGCCATTTTGCACAAATTTATCCGTCAAATTGTGCAACTCAGGTCGTGTGACCTTGTTCACGTCACGTCAACAAAACACTGTGAACTCAAGGTATATAATATCGAGTTTCCTTTTTTTATTTCATGTTTTAGATGTGGTTTTCTGACTTGGTCTCGAGTACGATAAATCTCCTGAAGAGTGCAGATTTGCAGAAAGGTGGGTTCAACTTTCTCCGCGGTCATTTAAATCTTGACTCTTTAGGGAGCCCTTCAACTCTTTTAATAATTGATCTCTTGGAATTTCTATGCATGGGAAACTTGTTTCCCCTTATACGAATGTCTCCTATTCAATTTAAGGGAATTCTTCAGCTGGTTCTTGAAACAAACTCTTCTGTACTACAGGTAACTTGGTATCTAAACGCTCTTCCTTCAACTAATCGCTCAAATCACCTAACTTACGGGTTGATTTTATTTTAGCTGCGAATTATTCATCTATTGACTAAGTGGTCACGAAAAATGGATCCTCTTGAGCCAGATGAATGTCTTGCATGGCCGAGGTATAATGACTCGCACTTGTTAGATCACCCCGAAACTACTGAAAATCTGTCAATGGTGAGAATGTTTGGGTTTGCTCGGTCGTGTATTAGTCTTTCCCACTGGCAACAGGGTTCGAACCAAGCTTATCCCCCTTCTGTACTATCAAAAATCTGGCCCAATGGCGACTTTGGTCTGTCTGAAGATTCTATACAATTCCCAGGTTCAACGTCGACATATAGCAGAGACTCGGGTGGAGTGACGATATCGCTGTGGCATAAGATGGTGAGTCAAGCTTATTACCGTTGGGTTAAAATTTTGGTGGTAAGTCCACTTGATTGAATCTAACTATTGAGCATATTCTGGTTTACAAGTCTTTCATTCCAGATATAGAGAATATTCATTCATTACTTTGACAAAAACAGTCTCTGTCTACCAAATTGGTAGCTTTTGTGTTCCGTAGGTATGTGTAAATATTAATTATGCGTTTATTTTTGCTGTCAATGCTGGCACGACTCTCTTTGGTGGGATATTTTATTTTTATCAGTTTATTTTGTTCATTTGACTTAAAAATTGTGTCGACATTTTGACTTAACATCCTTTAAACTTTTACCCTGGATACCCTCATTGATTGAAGCATTTGGAAACCTTCTATTCAACTAGAGCTTTGATTTTATTTCGACGGATAGTACTTGCGATAGAAATTGGTATTCAATGCCAAAGTTTGCCATTCTCTTGTACTTTATTCAATCTGCAATATCACGAGCTTCAGTTGTGTCTTAGTAGGAGAGAGATTACAGCAACCAACTTTGCCAAAGCTCAACAATATAATTACGTTCAGGGTTAACAAGGGGGGAGGGTACTTGTAGGATATTTTAATGGTTGCTTTAAACTTTTGTTTTTTTGTTTAACTAGATGCCGACTGTACAAAATGAAGAGTTTACTAACTCCGATAAACTATCAAACTCGACCCTGTTTAGCCTCGCTTCCCGTAGCGAATTATTGCATCTGTTCACATTGGAGGAGTCCACCAAATCCGAATCTTCATCAATATCACCGAGTACCCTTCAGTCAATTGAGGTTTCCTTCGACTTTTAGCTTTGCTCACAATTTCAATAAATTATTGACTTAGTACGGTTTCTTCTCCTCTTTTAGGTCTGGGTGGTCCCATTGGCTAAAGGTATTTACACTCGCATATACAAAGAATACGACAGTTTCATTAGTTCTGCGGAAACGCTCGTCCCTAACGTCTTGACTTCTTCCAATTGGAGTCATCTACTCATCAATATCACTCTTTCTAAACGAAGTGGAAAAGTAGGTTTATAGGTAGAATAGCACATTGTCGTCTTTTAATTTAGATTTCTATTGTAGAGAACGCTTCAACGTACAACGAAAAAACATTCCATTTGGAATCAACTAGGAGGCGAATGAGGCACTTTCATAAATTTCATCCTGAATTGCACTCTTTAAATCTGTGGATTGGACATAATTCTGTGGTGCATGATGAGGTGCATAACAGGCTCCAAACACCGACTCTCTACACCAGTGGACTTCACGTTTTTATTGGTTAGTAGCACTCCTGAAGTTGGTAATTAAATTACATTCCCATTCGTCAATTTGAATCACCAATCTCTCCTATTTTAAAGGTGCCGTTCTCTCAAAGCTATCCATCTTACAAATTGGGAATGAAGCATGTAATCAAATGAAGGAATTGGCTCTCTATCTCGTGCTCTGCGGTCCCAACTATTCACGGGATAGTTGGACAGGTTTACTAGCTAGAGGTCGGTGTTATCTCAACGCCCTCTTGGAACGCTTAGATCTGAAGGATATTGCAGATGTTTTTACTCGGTGTCAGCGTATTCTAACTTCGGATGGTGAAAATCAATGTGTCCGTACATTAAAAATGCTGACAAAGGTATGTTGAGGTGTCTTGGAATGAACTAATTCTTACCACTAGTCTCCTGAATTCCATGCCACTGTATTCGAATTTGAAGAACTAACACATGGCCATGAAAGACTTCCAGACTATTCTGGATCCAGAGGTGAAACGCAGTAATTTCGTAACTGTGATTTACTGCTTTGATAACTATTTTGTTGTCCTCTCAAAGTGGGAGGTACGTGGGGCATTAGTACTCGGCCCTACTGCAAGCCTATGTCTTTGTGCACTTTCTCATGTGTAGCACCTTCTCATGCCGCATTTCCCTCTTTCTGACAATCCCCACGAATCCTTCTCCAGCTATGTGTGGTATCGCTGGGATATTCTTTCATAAATAGATAAGTATTTAGCTCAATCTTCTTTTTGGCTATTACACAATACTGGTGCCAACTATTTTTATTTATATCAAATGACAGGCTTTATGATAGTCATCATTAACCCTTTCGTTGACATCGGGCTTCATAGAGGGGAGAAACCTCAAAGTCACAAAAATGCGAGGGGGAGGAGGAACAGGAGAGTGATTTACAGGCAGATGCAAATGTAGATAAAAAGATAAGGTGAGTACTGTGATAGTGTTTGAATATGACATACAGTGAGGTCATGGTAGTTTGAAGTCGGAAGTCAACTGCTGGCTTATAGACATCTTTGCTGTATGAGTATACGTTGCCCAGGGTGCACCACGTGGAGGTAAGTCTGTCGCACACCCCATGGCAAATGTATAGTTCCACTTAAATTTTTTGCTTAAGCATACGACACCTTTGCACATCTATTACATCACTCGGTGAAAGTAATGTGCGTTAGCCTATTTTGCTGTAAATTGCTTTCAGAATTTACATGTATTTTTCCCCCATTTTAGTACCATTTACTGGTACGCGCAGATCTTTCAAACGTGGACAGTGCCATTTGGACGGTTCGAATCTCACCATTGCGTCGTAGTGCCTTTAATGAAAGTTCGCAGTTAAAATCCGGGTGAGTATTTTTTTCCTCTATTGAATTGGCCTAGCAGCACATTCTTATTAATTACGTTTTTTCGTCTCATTTAGTGATTTGGGAGTTCATTCAGGCTCCTTTGAAATCGTATCAAAGTTTAGACGATTTGACTCCCTCTCAGGTCGTGACATTGACGGTGACAATGAGCTTATTAATTTGGTGACAAAGTACAGCATTGAATCAACGATAGCACCTCTTGGAGGAATTGATTCAGCTCTATTTTTGGCTGGTGTTGTGAGTCCTTGTCTTTGAACCAACTTTTTCTTATTTGTATTTATCAGAGATTGAGTCATTTATATGATCAATTCGAACTTGTAAAGCATCTGTCTTTACACTCTGTAAATGAGGGGTTTCTACTATTAGTCAATGATTCAAACCCTTGAACTTGAATTGATTGTAGTTGGACCAAATAAGGCTTTAAGGTGTCAATGATTGTTGATAGCATTTTTCATCCGTTTTGCATTCTATGAAATCTTGGTTCATGAGCTTAGCTTTTGTTAAGGTGCATAGCGATAAACGTTCAATATTCCTAATCGCGATTTGTTTCAGCAATCTTCAATAGCCCATTCTGCAGAAATCGCCGACCCCTTCGACATTATCGGATCCATTTAAGCTAAACTTACTCCAAGAAGACGTCGTTGTTAGCTATAGCATAGCAAGAACTTGATATAACTATAAATCGTGTGGAAAACGGAAATAAAAGAAATTTGCCTAAGTATGAATGAGGGAAATGTGGTACTTTTGTTTTGAGTGTAGAAGTGTGGAGTGGAATGGCATTTTTCCAGTTTGCCCGCTTTCCCTAATGGGAATGTGGTTCACTGATACCATGCTTCTGCGTTTCAAAGTACACATTTCTTGATTTGATTCCTTCGTTAATGTGCACGGTTTTCAGGGGATAGTGATCCCAGGGTTAATTGAATGGCCGATTCGTCATATCCTTCTCAAGAGCTTTCATCCCTAAATGGCTGAAACCAGCTGGGTGTTCCATCGAATGTGGTGGGTTATAGCTCTATCCACTCGTGTTCAGTTCCTGAGATGTTCATATTAATTCTCTATGTGGTTGTTATTAAACCTTAGGATGACGAAACCAAGCTTTCAATGTCTGCGTGGTCTACTTTTGTGCTAATTTTTTTCATGAAAATTGATTCGTGCATTAAGTATGAGACTACTTTTTTCTTGACAATTTTTTCCTCACCTATTTCAAAATAATAATAATAAAAGATTTAAGTTGTCCATCACTGATATTTTAACATTCCAATAAAAAAATTACTTGGTTGAAAATCCTTGTAGGTACATCATGTTAGTCAACTTGGTAAACAATTTCTATGAAACTGATGTCATAGGATGTCATATTTTGTCTTTACCTCGAAACCTCTCTCCTAGTAGTTAAATAAAAATGGTAATCTGGTTTGATTTTTATCAAGAACTGATTCGAACAGTTATGCCCACTAGACTACGAATTGAAATGAAAGTATTCCCAAGTAATAAAACTTTCAGAACAATTATAAATCTGTTCAAGGAAAGTTTATCAAAATACAAATTCTTTCCGATTTCTATTTTCAGTCTGCTAGAACTAATTCCCTTGGTACTATCTCTGCATATTTGGATTAGTTGTATTGCATTCGGCTGTGTTAAATTTACTTTTAACCAATCATTTTCCTTGGTAGATTGCCTCTTCTGATAAACCTGATAGCGACGTCATTGAAGCCGCTTTGGATTTCATTCTTACGCTTAGGAGGCAGTCAGCCATTTTAGCTGAGTACTTCTTTCGTCCTCTATTGGAAGAATCAACACCACTGAGCTCTAATGAAGCATTTAATCGGTTACACATAACATCCTACGGTCTATGTCTTCTGAGCACTCTCTTCAACCAAATCAATGTTAAGCACATTAATTCATCTCTCCACGAGGTAAGCTAACCTACCTAAGTATTTAATCGTTCATCACTATTCCTCGATGTTATTTCTTTATTCTTTTTTTCTTTCCTTTAGGTAGTCGAAAGACATGTCTTCTTGAAAATTGCTACCGCCGATGATGGTGGTGATGCCCATTTGCTTGTAGATCCAGAGCTGCTTGCTTGTCATCTGTCATTTTCTTCAATACGGAGTCTGCATCAGACGCTAATAGTGCTGACTGAGTGTATGAAAAGAGGTGGTAGCTGTGAGGAAATAGTAAATCAAATATCGATTTGCAATATGAATATAATTGATCAGTACCAGATCATTGAAATCTCGGTCATTGCATTCCGGGTAAGTTCTTATGGTAACTAGCAGAACCATTGAAACAGAGGTTGGGCGCAGTTTTTATGGAGATCTCTCATCAGTATAATTTTTAACTTTATTTTTACAATAGAAGAACTCGCTTATGTAGCATTTTTCAGCCAATAACGCGGACATGGTAGTATATAAGTGGCAGACAATAAATTATCTACTGTCCGCTTCATTACTAACTATGACAATATTTGAGTTGGTACATAAAAGGTATATTTTCTATAAAATCACGCTGTTGGGCGAAGATCTAGTCTCTGCTAATTGTGCAGACGTGCAAGTTGACCGCTGTGTCCCAATTCAACTCCTCCCTATCTTAGCATTAAATTATGTCGCTTGTAGATACAAACCTAAAATGAGGAAACTGTGCAAAAGAATTTCAGCTGAACACCAATAATTATTCTGATTTTGTAGATTTGTTCTTCTTGTTTTACAATCGACGATATTTCTGAACAAGATTATACGGATACACTTGAGACGGTTGCTCAACTTGTTTCGAGGCGTTTATTATTTTTATCACTACCGCCTCCAATTAGTCTGTTAAACTTTCTACTGCGGATGGTGGTTTCAGTTGATCCAGATCTTTATCACAACGCAGTTACTCGAGTCTTTGACTACGTTGGCCAAAATTCCAGTTCTACTTCTACGCATTCTACTCTTAACCTTGTGGAGTTAGCCAATAAACATCATCAGAATCTACATTGGATGGTATCGTCACCCCAAGCAAATTTCACGAGTAAATTGTGTGACTTTTCATCAACTCTGACCTTCCTTTTCAGGATAAGTTATAGAGGCCTTACTTTTTCGCTTGTAGGTAAAGTTGCAGAGAAGCTGGAAGGATTTGTAGAGGAACCTAAAGTAGAAGCACATTCACCTTTCACAGAACCCAAGTCAATACCCTTGATCCCTCTACAACCCGCTTTGACCTTGGAGGGAGCCAGTGTGGTTGAGGCTGAGACGCTGGCAAAATTCAGAGAACAATTAATGTCTGATGAGAATGGTGTTATAAATAACTGCTCTAACTCCTCTATAATGTTCAGTTCCTGCTATAATCTTCCCGAATTCGAAGATCTTGGTTTGTTGAGAAACAAATCTGTTGAGAAGAGTCCCTATTCGAAATGGCGATCGCGCAGTCTTCCGGATATCTCAAGTTCGATGGTGAATGATGCTTACCTTTCAGAAGGTATGTAAAATTGCTTCCTAGGCCCACTCCAGGTTTTACTGCGGCGATCTTACATTTATTCTTTTTAAAAGTAGGTGACAGTAGCGTACTTTTAGTATTAAAACGTGGTTTTATAATTATATGAAAATGAGACAGCTTTGGCTGGGTTTCTTCTCTATTTCTAATTTGTTCGCTATTGGTTTATATTTTACGCAGATCTTTTTTAATTTTTCTCCGTTTTTATACAGGGTTTTATTTTAGAAAATCGAGCAAATATTTCCTGTCCATCAAAGGGTGTAATCGATTCTCATTTCAGATTCTGTGGCAACAAATCGCTTAGCCTCACCCGAAGCCACTAAAACCCCTTCAGAATGTGCTATTTATTCCCGAACTTCCAGTATTGATCCGCAAAGTATCTCGCCGCTTCGACTGGTTCAGAGGCATCAGTTAGCTGCTGTGATACTCTCCAGCCTGTCAGAATTTTGGCAAAAACAAATAGACAGGAGCGTCCTTGACATGAACTCGATCTCATATCCTCTTCTTCCTCCCTTCTGGTTTGTCTATCATCTAGCTGGCCAACCTTGTACCAAGTTTCGTGAATATGTAACCACAATTTTAATAGCTAAATTTGTCATTAGGTTTTGTAGAAGTTATGTTTAGTGTAAATTGTAGGCATTGACACTGTACAACAAGATGATGATGAGCCGATTATTTCAAGGCAGGGAAAATGCAGATGGTAATAGTCGTATGCTGGCGATGCAGTTTCTCTCCGCTTCTTCAAGTTTAGTCTCCGAGTCTACCCATCACCTCGATTCTCTACACTGCTCCACTTCGACCTTCGCACATGCTTCGTTGACTTCGCCAGAATTGGTTATCGCAGCTTCCAAATTACTCGATGATCAGGTACATTTAAAAGGCCTACTAAGTTGTGTATAGCAAACAATTTAGCTATGTAAATTTTGTGTGTGTGTATTTGTGTAGCATCATCAAAGTTAAGTGTTCAATTCGAAACAGCAGTTATGAGAGAATGGGAATACCTCGTCTTAATTGGACACACTTGGTAATAGACAGATTTATGCACATAAATTTGAAGAGGTAAAGTTGTATCACAAGCATTGAGTCTACTTCCTGGGGATCGATTGGAGGTATCTCATTCTAGCGGTGACTTAAGCATCCATTTCCTTTAATTTTCATCCAGCTCATAACGATACATTCTCTGCTTTAGAAGCACTCTCACCATAAACTTGTTTCTCTTCTTCCTGAAGCGTAAAATGATGATTTCCTATTGTTTCTTCTGCTTTGGTGGGCTTGCAAGCTGTTTTTTTTTCCAGGTTTTTCATCGGTAGTAAAAATAATTGACGTTAATAATAATAATATCCCCTTTTTTCTTGTCTCCTTCTTTCAGGTGGCTACACCCGACAAGTTCTCCGCATCTACCTCCATCATTATGGCGATATTTGCATCAGCATTGGTGGATATCGTCACATTCTTTAAGCTAAGGAGGGAGGCATTATCTGAGGGGAAAATCAGCATGAATTTGAATTGTCGTTGGAAAAACTTTCATGACGGTTTCACGAGTTTCATTAACAACGCTAAGGTTCACTAATGGTTTTAACCTGTTTCAAATTATTATTGTTATTATTATGTGTTTTTTAATATATTTCACATTCTTTTTGTAGGCCCATACCCTTGTTCTTGTGTCCCTTCACAATTCTTTCACTTTGCAAATACTTCTTAAAATTGTGTATTACCTGCAAACATCTTGCTCTGAAAGTGAGGGAGATAATCTTTGGGCTGGAAGATTTCACGAAATTGGGCATCTGGTTTCTCGTCTTTTCAGCTCTGCCATCTCCAAAGTCAAAGTTCGAGTCCCTTTTCAGACCATTCAGACATTTATTTACAGTTTGTTGTCTATCGGTGATAATGCCGGTATGTTGTTCATTTCTTGTCATCACTTCTATACTGTAGCTCTCAATCAACCCTGTGTTATACGAGAGGTTCTCCTTCGCATTCTATTCACGTTACTGGATCAAGTTATTCGAGAGATCACTAATCAGAAAAACTGTAACGTTCTCTTCCTTCAGCTTCAGTGGACGGTGGAAACTCTTGAAAAGGCTCTTCTTTACAAAGGTTTAAAATATTGTATACCATCTATCACTCCATCTAAATGCTTCTTCCTTCAGGTTCATCGCTTCCACTTAATCCTCTGACTACCGATGACCAGAACTTCACATGCTCACAATTTCAAACCGTTCAGGGTTTGGAACAGACTTTAATCACCCTCTTAATTAGCTCGACTTCCCATGCTATGGTAATTGTGTCCAATTTGTTATTTTCTGCTGATAGATATAATGTTGAAAATAACTTTTTTTCCATTGACCCTTAAGCATAACTTACAAGGGGATATTTGGACGGTTTTGTCAAGCAGTCTTCTTCGAATTGCGTGGACATGGTGTGATGCTCTCTTTGAAACACTCACAATTTCTAAACCGGGCCTTCGACTGATGCAATTCCTTGCTAACGAACCACAGATTATCAGCCAAGAGACAATAAACGCTAATATGAATGTAAATTAAATTGCTTCCTAAATATAGTGCACACTTTTAGATGGTAATTGGACTGAAGGACAACCTCGAAATGTTGGTGGCTGTTTTTTCTGTTGGGCCTCAAAGTAATAGTGGAAATGAAGATTTTGGGATGGGAGACTATCACAGAAAGCTTTCAGATTCTTTGTCCGATCTCTTTGAATGGATCACAGGTGTGTGTTCAAAGGTTGCGCCCTCTGCAAGAGTGACGTCTCCATGGCATCCATCCGATCAATTTTCGGCTTGTGTGAGTTTTTGTATTTGCAATGTTTATACTGCCTTCTAATAGACTTCAACATTTCCCTCTCTCAATTCGGCTATTTTCGATTGTGATTGGCTAACACCCCTACGAGAAATGAATGACGCTGGTCAACGCATTTGGTCGACACTAATCTCCCAACATCAATATATTATAGACGTTTTGGCTCCATTTTACTGGATGCAACTTGGAGGTAACCTTAGTCACGAAAGGTACCTAATATTTGCTTGGTTTTATACTTGAATCGGTCCCTTTACCCTAATGACTGTGTGACAATTTTCTTTCAGTTCTGTATTCTCATCCGTCGCTCCGAAATCATCATTCTCATTCATTGACACATTTGAAAATGACTCCAGACAGCGATGTAGAAGGCGCCCAGTAATTGCTTGGGTTGATGATCGGTTTTTGCGGAACACATCTATCCGATCTCTGGGTCAATATCAGAAAATGCATCCATTAAGTCCTCTCATGATGCAGCACCAAACTTACACTCCCAGTAGAGGATTGGCCAGAAGTCGTTGTATTCAGATACCCCATGTACTCTTTCCACCCTCCAACCAGGGCCTCTTTTGCCCTCCGCCTACTCCTCATGACGATAGGTGCATTGGTGTCTGGCCATGCTACCTCATTGAAATGGCTGATTCTATTCCTCTGGAAGGTGATCTTAGCCTGGATGCCAGTTGGATACATCTATTTATTAACAATGTGAACGTGACTAGTCATCGGGTTTGTGTTCTCAACATAGCATTAGTTAATGAGTTAATTCCTAAGTTTATAGAACTTATATTTTGTTTAAAAGGTGTCACAGATCAGCAATGAGACTCTAATGCATGGGATTGGAGAAGATTCTGAACAAAAGGGAGTTGTAACTTTCCCTTTGCGATCGATTGCGCACATTGAGGAAAGGCGATTTGAACTTCGTGATCTCGCTCTGGAATTATTCTTTAATCGGATGTGCAATGTTCCACCTGTCATGATTGCCTTTCGTTCAAAGAAAGCAAGTTGACGCCTCATTTATTTATCGTACGTGTTTGGGTTGATGAAGTACAACTTCTTGCAATTCTCTAGGATCGGGATCACTTTCTGCAAACTTTGGTTGGAGCCTGCAGTGCACTTCTACCGCATTATACCTCTCCATGGTGGCGAGTAGGCAGCTTTGGGATTGAAAGCGGTCGTCGGTATCCATCACAACGTCTTCGAGATGCTTGTGCTGGCATTCTTGGTCCCTTTTCAACACCCTACGTTGGTCAAGCTACTCGTGAACGTCTTCTCGACGCTCAAGTTGCCTGGCTCCGAGGTCAAATGTCAAATTTTGATTATCTTATGGCGCTTAATTCCGCCGCAGGGAGGACATACAATGATATTACACAGTATCCCATTTTCCCATGGGTTATAGCTGTATGTTGAATAGATATGGCAATCATCTACTTTTAATTGTATAAGTAGGTCATGGTGCTTTTTTTAGGACTACAAGAGTGAGATTTTAGATTTGAGAAAAAGTCGGGACACATATCGTCAATTGGACAGACCTATATCAGTGCAATCAGAAGCTGTAGCAGCTGCTGTTATTGAGAATTATGAGGATCTGAAGGCACAGCAAGCGGAAAGTTGTTTCGAGTACAGCTTTGACGAGGAACAACGGTCCATTCTCTGTCCTGTCTATCATTATTCATCTTTCTGCTCTAATGAGGCCATCATTCTTCATCTTCTATTCCGCCTCATACCATTTGCATTCCGGCTTATTCAATTTCAAGGTATCTTACTGGGATCTGTAAATCAATCTTATATGTGTTCAATAAATACATTTTTATCACATTTCAAGATGGCAATTTTGAAAATCCCAACCGTCTTTTCCACTCTATGGCCGTCGAATGGGCAATGGCAACAGATTCGGCGAAGCATGTTAAGGAGTTGATTCCTGAGTTCTTCTTTCGATCTGACCTCTTCACCAACCATGAAAACTTTGAATTAGGCACTCGTCATGATGGCATACTGGTTGATGGAGTTGAGCTACCTCCGTAAGAATGTCATACATCGTAGATCACTTTTAATCTTCCTGGGTGATTGGCAAATTCACTTTCATTTACAGTTGGTCCAAGGGAGATCCACGACTCTTCGTCCTGATCAATAGAGCTGTCTTAGAAAGCCCCTACGTTACAGCTCATCTACCGGAGTGGATAGATCTCGTCTTTGGCTATAAGCAAACCGGTAGAGCTGGTGAACGTGCTCTTAATCTCTATCATCCGTTTGTAAGATTCATTCAAACTTCTTTTCTACTTAAATTTACTCAGTTGATGAGTTCTCTTTCATGATACCTTTTTGGCAGACCTATTTCGGTGCGATTGACGTTGACAGGATTGAAGATCCAGTTCGACGCAATGCAGTACAGTCAATGATTCGCAACTACGGTCAAGTTCCTCGCCAGCTATTTCCAACACATCCTCACCCACGAAGAGCATATCCAAGAACTCTTATGGCGACAGGTGGAAGTGCTCTTCACGTGCCCGTTGGTTCACAAATCTCTGGTATTTCACGTTTTGTCCACCAAGTGATTTCAGGCTTTAGACGGGAGAAGGAAGATGAGGAGGAGGAGGAGGGAAAAATGTTGAATTTTCCTCATTCAAAATTTGATCCGAAAATCGCTTCTGTGAGGTCCCTATCTGTGGATGAATGGGAGCTGGAAAGCCGATCTGAAGTTGGAGTTGCTACATCTGTTCTTCCCCTTACTGCCGGAACTCCCCTTGACACTGTTAGGGGTCTAAGGTGGGGTGATTGGGCTGGAAATCCTCGCTCTCCGGTATGGTATTCACATTTCAAATAATTTTTGAAGTTTTGCAGTTCATTTTATTAGAGATTGCTCAGATAGCAGAGTCCCTTTGTTTTCCATCTCAAGCGCTCACGTCACTCTTTTTTCATTTAGCTCGGCATCAGTTGGTACACGAATCTAGAAGGTGGTTCGAGATCGTACTGTCTGCGTGGTGACTTATATTCGTTTTGGACAGTTCTCGTGTCCGAAACCTCGAATTACCTATTTCTACTCCAAAACCCACATTACCCTGTTCTTCTTGTCAAAATCAGCCTTCAACCCCATGTGATCACCATTAAAACTAGACGTTTTCTCGACGGAATGGAAATGCATTCAATGAATCTACCTCTGTCATTTACAGAATCAAAATCAATATTTCTAGCTNCAAAGAACTTCTAGCTGGGCTTGAATCGCATGATGATGATGGGGAAGAGGTTCGTTTCCCGTTGATAACTAAGTGCCTTCTCATTCATCTGCTTTCTACTTTACCTACTTCTTTGTTGTAGGTAATTCAGAATCAATCACATTCCCACAATGATCTTTCATATTCAATTAACTATATACAGACGCCTGTGACTCAGCGGTTGAGGAGGCCAAATCTTCCATCCTTGACTGTATCAAATAGTTGGCGATGTTTGATTGGGCACATTGGATCCTCAATCAGTTGCCTTAGCGCCTGTCCTCCGTATGGTTTGATGGCTAGTGGTGATGATGAGGGCCGTGTAATTGTCTGGGATTTGGTATCCATGTCTTACATTACTCTCCTCGATACAAATGACAGTTGTGTCCTCTTTTGGGGAGTATGCGGCCTTGCTTTCGATCAGAAATTAGGAGATCTTATTGTTGCTCGATCAGGACCAAATGGACCTTTCGGCTAGTTCAACATTCACATACTCCATCATAATAGATTTGATGTTTCTTTCTATCCATAATCTCTTCTACGTTTTAGAAATCTGGATTGGCCTCTTCACATCTGAATGTCGCATGTGCTCAAACAGAATTCTCGATTTTCAAGCGGAGATAGGAGTCACTAGAACGACGGGGTTCTCCTCATAGTTGTGATACTCGAGCAAATTGGCCAATTATCTTCTCGCCTACTCGTGGTAATCATGTGGGGTGTATCCTCATTGGTGGTCCCAATGGTTGTTTAGTATGGCTTAACAGTTGGACTCTTGATACAATCTCAATTATGCAGGTGAGTTAATTGACACTTTGGTCTAGTGTATAGTTTTACGATGACCACCTAAACATAATTTATAAGGTTAAAGTCTATTGTGCAGATGGAACAGTACAGAGACGCTTTTCAGCTACCGTCCTCTACCTGCTCATGTCCAAGCGGTGATATTTGCACTAAAAATTGGCTTCTTCAAATTAAAGGATTGTAGGATGTGTTTCTAACCTCAAATCTTTATGCATCAAGCTGTTAGAATGNGTCTGTGTATAGTCTAGAAAATTAGATGTCATGAGTTCGATGATGCCCTCCTCGTGAAAAAATGGGCGCAAGAGGACGACAACATTCTGCCCAGGCTAAGTTTTGAAAAACAGTTTTCTCAATTAGCCTGATACTTAAGAGTTTAAAGAACATTGAAATCGAACTTGACTTCACTAGTCAGTGGCAAATTGAGAACTCATGATGAAATGGGCTAAACTTTGCTCTAACTTAAAAGGCTTCTTTGAGCACATGGAGGTTAACAATGTTATTTATTTTTAGCTGGAACAACCCTCCCCTTGTTCTATAGTTGCCTTGTCCTTCGCTCCGCCTTCTTCTAGGCCCATGGTTCATAAAATGGGCGATAATGAATCGTTTGCCCACTCCACACTTTATGTGATCGATTCAGAAGGTTGGATGTACTTCCTGGAACCCGGTGTCAAGTTGCCATCACAGCGACTAAGGATTCAATCTAACTTCCTACATCAGGATAGCCATACCCTTTACCTTCCTGGTTTATGGCTATAGAGAACCAACCATACTGTCTTTCATGCCTTCACTTGCACATATAACTTTGTCAATATTTACTTTCTTACTAATATAAATGTGAATGCTTCCAGATTTCAAGGCTCTCATTTGTCTCCCGTTTTCCAATTGGTCTACTAACTGGCGATGTAGTTAGCCTAGCCTTGCTTACTTTCAATAAATCAGTAGCAATGCGATAGGTAACTCACCACCTTAGGGTCAATTAGCAAGATATTTATTTATTTATTTATTTATAACCAATGGTTGGCTGTATGACAATTATCATTAGCCCATCAATTGACTTCGGGCTTCACAGAGGGGAGGAACATCGAAGTCACAACAAGTTGAGGGGGGGGGGGACAGAAGAGTGATTCACAGATGTTAAAGAGACAGACACAAAGGTAGAGAAAAAGGAAAGGTGAGTACTGTGTAAATGGTGGAATATGACATACAGTCTGGTCATGGTCGCGAATCGCAAAAAATCCCATGTTAGACTGCCCATTTAGTAACTACTGTTGAATCCGAGACTAAATATCAAACGAAGTAAGTCTTGTAGCGATTTGCTACACCAACATGCCTTGACTCCTGCTCATTAATCGCCATGGCAAAATTAACTCAAATAAAATATAGAAAACGGTCACAATGTGGTGCACATTCATTTTTTGTAAGTCGATCATAGGTCTTAGTGATTAAAATACGCAATTAAGGGTTCGCCAAACTATGTAGGGATTATTAATAAGTGTCGGTTGAAGAGCTCAAAACCACACGCGTTCCATATGGCGCGCCAGCACTTCGAGTTTGTCTGAGTAAAATTGAGACTTCTTTGTTCCATGACAGTCGTCTTCAGGATGCTAAAGTTGGAGAGAAAAAAGGACTCGGCAATTAGTTGCTGTATCCATTCTCCAATCGAGATGACAAGGCAACTCTCAGACCACAACGTGTGCGAGGAGCTTAGGTTTGAGATATGCGGGATTTTGAGACGGTAAGATAAACAGTATCTGTATGAGTTGAGGGGGACACGGTGTCTTTCGAGGATGGACCAAGGGTGTTAGATACAAGGAAAGGTTTGGAGCGGGTAGAGTGGGAGTTAGCCAGTTAGCTTGCATCAAGAAGACAAAAGTGGGGTGCATAAAATGAGTGTTCACAGTAAATAGTTGTTATCAATTTGTGTCGTCGAATCGACTGTTTGATTAGCGGATTGAGATGGTTGTGCCTTTTCTTTCACCTTCGACTCCGTTTTGGACCTTACATTTTGGATGAATGTAGGCAGTTTGCAAGTGTTGAGTTTCCTCTCAAATGGCGTTTTCTATTAGCTAGAGGGTCGCCTTTTATATTTGGTGGTTAGCAGTATAGTAGACGGTGATGGAGTTTGTGAAAATTTTCACTAATTGTTGGCGACAGTCTCTGTTGAAGTGGAGTTTGTTCTGCGTTTTGGGTAAAATTGCAACGGATTGACATGGATCAGGCAATGCTAACTTCTTATGAGTCTCCATTGTAGAAGATGGCTTTAAGGCTTCTGTGCTGGGTGACTAATTTGATTTTCTATTAGTTTACACTTTGACAAGGGCTGTTCATAGAACATCATCTAAGTAACTTATCTTATAGACTAAATGGTTGTATACTCAAGGCCACTGGGATCAATCGATGGGGACAAATGATTGGAAATTCTTCTAGCCCATGTCAAATATGAATCCAAAAGGGAATTACGGAATTAGAATATGCAATATATGATGCACCATTGGTGATGCAGGTTCCTGTGTTGACACAAGTGTAGTTCGAGTATATTTCCCTTGAAGTCATAGTCAAAAATGAATGGCTTAAAGTATAGAGGGGCACACTAAATCGATGCATGATTATCCTTTGGTTACCTCAAAGTGATTTCTTGCACCCATGGTAAGTCGGTGGATTGAATGCTTCAATAATTTATGAAGTCCATATGTTTGAGCTTTGTTTCATCTTCTTGTGGACCATTTCATTATTTTGTCGTCAGTAAAGCGAGCGAGCTTTTTTAGGCTGTCGTATCCACTTCATGCCTAGTGCGTTCCGGTTTAAAGTTAAAAATTTTTGAGTGCTAATTGGCTAATAATGTTAAATGAGTTGATTAAATTGAAAGATTAATCATAACAGCTTGACATTTCCTACATTAATAAAAAATATTTGCTATATGAGTAACAACAAGAGTTGCCATAGTTAAAGGACCAACTTATTGCATTCATTTTGAATGGTGTACCTTGTATCGCTCTTAACATCAATTAGAATAAGCTTTTGAGGAATAGACATTGCTTTCAATGATAGAAGAGTACAAACAGAAAAACAGTATTTATTTAGTCAAAAGGAAGGTTAGTAATTTTTCATTATTATATTAAGCAATAGGTGGGAGGGGACGCGAGTTTAGTTTCATATTTCACTTGCGCCTGGAAGTATTAAATCGTCCAGTCTGCGAATATTAAGCCAGCCAAAGTAACAAATAATTTGATATCATATGTATATACACCGAAATCAAGGATACGTACTGCATGTCAAGAGAATCTATTTCAGTGGATATAATCCTCCGAAATAAAATATTTTAGTTGTAAAAATGGTTTTATGTAACCCCCCCCC